TCTATACTAGCAATGAATGTTTGGAAATTTAATTGTTTTTAAATGCCATTTACAGTAGCTCCTCTCAAAAGATATACTTAGGTATAAATCTATCAAAACGTATGCAAGATCTGTATGTTGAAAACTACAAAATACTGATGAAATAAATCACTTAAGAGCTAAATAAGTGAAGAGACATATCATGTTCATAGATTGAAGACTCAACATAGTGAACTTTAATTCTCCACAAACTGACCTATAGATTTCACGGAATTCCAATCAAAATCTTGGCAGGGTTTTGTGTAGATAAAGGCAAGCTGATTCTAAAATTTACATAGAAAGGCAAAGGAACTACAATGGCCAAAACAATTTTGAAAGAGAACAAAGTTGAAGAATTCCCACTATTTGATTTTGAGACTTACTCTAAAGCTACAGTAATCAAGATATCGTTGTTAGTGGAAGGATAGACATACACATGAGTGAAACAGAATAAGGAGTTGAAAAATAGGCCCACACAAATATAGCCAATTTTTAATAAGTTGCTAAGGTAATTCAATGGGGAAATATTAGCTTTCCAACAAATGCTATTAGAACAATTGCACATTCATAGGCAAAAAAGAATCTTGACCTATAACTCAAACCATATCCAAAAATCAACTTGCTATGGACTGACAGTTTGCATCCCTCCAAAATTCATGTGTTGAAGTTCTAACCTCCCATGTGGTGGTATTAGGATATGGAGCCTTTAGATTTAGATGAAATCATGAGGGTGTATATCCAATGCCATGATTGGACCTAAATGTATAATTATAAAACTTTTAAAAGGAAATGTGAGAGAAAATCTTACTGACGTTGGATTATGCAAAAGTTCTTTGATATGACATCAAAAGCAAAATCTACAGAAGAAAAATAGATAAATTAGACTGCATCAAAATTAAAAACTTTTCTCTGAAAAAAGTAGTGTTAAAAGAATGAAAAGTCAAGCCACAAATTGGAAGAAAATATTTGCAAATCACATGTCTGACAACAGATTTGTACCTACAATATATAAAGAGCTGTCAAAACTCAACAAAAAGAAAACATCCCCCCCCAAAAATGGGAAAAAGATTTTAACACACTTCACCAAAGAAGATACACATACGGCAAATAAACTCCTGAAAATAATTATCAAAATCATTAGGGAAATGCAAATTAAAATGACAATGAATACCATTATACATCTATCAGAAGGACAAGGATACAGAACAACTGGAATTCTCATACATTGCTATCGGTAACACAAAATGGTACAACCTTTCTGGAGAACAGTGAAGCATATACTTAGTAAAAGAGCCAGTATCCACAATCCTAGGTACTTACCCTAGACAAATGAAAATTTATGTTCACACATACATGTACAGAAATGTTTCTCAGAGCTTTATTCATAATTACCAAAAACTAAAAGCAATCTAAATATCTTTCAATGAGGAAAGGGCTAAACAACATTGGGTACATCCATACAGTGTAATACTACTCAACAATGAAAAGGGATGAGTTATTGATACAAGCAACAACACAGATGAATCTTAATGGCATTACACTGAATGAAAGAAGCCAGTCTCAAATGGTTTCATACCGCATGCTTCCATTTATACGACATTCTGGAAAAGATAAATCTATAGGGATGGAAAACAGATCAGTGGTCACCAGAGGCTAAGGGTGGGGCAAAGAGTTTGACTACAAAGGGATAGCAGGAGAAGATTTTTTGGTACAATGAAACTGTTCTGCGGTCATTGCACAACTCAATGCACTCAACTAGACATGTTAAAACTCATAGAACTGTACACCAAAAAAGTGAATGTAATTGAATGCAATTTTTTAAATTAATAAAATTTTTAAAATCTCTAAGTCAACATAAGAGGATTTACTTGGGTTGGCAGATTGTAAACCTTGCAGTTAAGACAGTCTGCTATATAATTTATTTATTCACTGACCTCTCAGGAATTGGTAAGAGGCTACATAAATAAATAAAAGCTATAACTATGTTGCAATAAATATTTTCTTAAATATTTTTGATAGCTCTCTCTATAAATATTGTTGCTAAATGTTTTTCAAACTAATCTTCGAAGTCAAGGAGCTGGCTGTTTCATTTCTTACAATGATATGATTTTTATTCCCCCATGAAATCCTTGTTATCATACCTTGCCTAATTCATGTGCAAGAGAAGAAAGATCTTTTTGTTGACAATAAATTTTCCATGAAGGCAATTGAAACAAGCCAAATATGTATTAGTTCTATTCACAGAGAGGTGCATTAATCCCTTAAGTATATACTAATCATTGGGGGAAGTGGAGATAAGGAAACTTCTGTCCACACTTTCCACCTCACACTGCATTCCCTATTAGCTCTTCCTCAAGAGAGAAGTTGCTAATCTGATTGTTCAGAGTCTGGAATTCTTTGAGTGAAACCATGGCATTGAAAAGACATTTGAACTTATGAACATACTCTCTTTCTCGCTGGGAGCATATCTCCTCCCAGAACATTTTTTTTGCCTCCCAAATGGAAGCTTTTGCTATAACCACAGACTAAGTAACCTGGGTCAGCTTAGTATTATGCACAGGAGTCAAAATATTTTTGTGTATATTGATTATGTCACCCTCTTTCCTTTGGCCCTGGTGGTCTGCTTCTAAATCTTCTCACATTGCTCTAGAAAGAAAGATTCCAACTTCAAGTTCAGGAGAAGGAAGGAGGAAAATAGATAAGAGATTTAGGAAAAGGAAGCAAGGGGCCTCATTTTGGTCTTTAGCCTCGGCCATGTGCCCTAGCTTAGTTTAACTTGTATTTAGGGATATATGGTACTTAGAGAGAAATTAATATATTTATATGTTATTCCTTATTTTACTGTTATTAATTTTGTATAATTTCTTTGGAGGGAAGAGCAAATGAGTGACAGGCTTTGGGTAACTGAATCCTTAAATAATTACTAGTCATGGCCCCTTGCCTTTAAGAGCTTTAAAAATTGATATGCACAAAATTAAAACACTCCTAAATTACAAAGTCTATGAACGGTATAAAAAAGAGGAAAAGTATAGAATTGAATTTGTCTGCCCTATGTAAACCAAGAAACCACCCAAAGCCCCGCCCAACTTAAGTCCTGCTCCTTACAATGCAGACTAACTGAAACAAGAGAATTCGAGAATATTTTATACCATATGATAAGAGTGAATCCTAATTAGGGATATATAAAGTCCCATTCCATTTCTCCCTCACTCCCTCATTCAGAACTTCTGTTCTGAAACCTTGCTTCATGAATCTCTGTTTCACCTTTGCCTTTAAGGTAAGCAAGAAGGCAGTGAACCATTCAAAGATACACAGAGGCAAGACTAGAACTAGACCTCAGGATTCTTGTTTCCCTTTGCTAAAATTCAAAAAGCTATAATGACTTTTGAAGGGCACAGACCCACTGACCCAATTTTATAAACAGCTCACTGTTAATTTATTGTTATATTCATCTTGGATTGTCTAACACTTTTATTAATTTTGGAGTGATCATAGCACATTCTCCTGTTCCTTCCCTTGCTGAGTGTTAGGTAGGCTTGGAGAAAGGGATGGGGGAGTATTTCCCTTGACTAGTACAAAACATCTGGATCCCCAGATTATAGAGATTTAGAAGAACAACAGCCCTAGAAATGAGGTTGTAATTCTGAAAATCTGGCAAAGTTCAAAAACAATTCACCACCCTGATTTTCTTTTAGAATAATATCACTACATGAGTTAGAAGACATATGATCAGAGATGAGAAGCTAAGCTGACATATTTTTAGCACTTTGTTCTTATTGCCCCAAAATGCTTATGATTTTTCAAAAGAAACTCAAAACTGAAGAAATCATCCAAAAAGTGTTATCCCACAGGTTTCTGTACATATCCTATCCAGGTCAGTCCATGCCATCTCTGACAGTTATGAACAACTCTTACTTTCCCCACAGGAAAAAACAAAAACTAACACAAAACTTGGAAGAAAAAATGGAAAGTAAAGCCCTGTACAAATAGTGGGCTGCCTAAGCCAAATCAGTCCACTCCAGAAATTCCCCACTGTTCATTACACAATCCTTCACCCACATCATGTTTTAGAAAATGTCGAGTTAACATTACCCAACAACTCTAACTCAGTACAACATCAGCCCATCCTCCACCTCAAAAATGGAAGGACACTTCCCCTTGGCTACATCTGACCTTGAACCAAAAAGCCTCCATCCCTGAAACTGGTGAGGCATTTTGTCAGGAAGATAAGCTCTGAGGTACAGGAAAAAGAGGCAGAATCTGAGGTCAGAAAACTCCAGCTGAGGATAGCAAGACTGTCTGGAATCAGCTTCCCTGGGTGTGTAAAATAGGGATGACATTGCTTATCTCAGAGGGTAGTTTGAGGATCAAATGATGTAACGGCATGAAAGCACTTTATGAAGTGTTAAGCAGTTAATATATGCAACAAAGAACTGTTGTTTTCCAACTTCACAGATCCTGTGTTGACTGAATGTCCTTCACTGTACAGAACAATTTCTCCCACTGAGTTATTTGGGGTGGGCAGCAGAAGGGTTCCTAGGCTTTCCTCTAAGGCATTCCTCTGAGTCACTGCTTGTGGTGACTGTTAGAGCTGACAGAAACTCACTCCTGCCTCCCCAGCTAGCATCCTGATGGGGGGGGGGGGGCAGGAAACTTCCTCTTTTCAAGTTTTGCTAATTGAATTCTTTGAAGCCCAGACTCAATTCTTCCCTTTTAAAAATGCATTATACCTTTCTTCCTCAGCTATTTGAGGTTTATGGCCACAGCAAATACAAACAACCTCTCAAGTTAAAGAACCACAACACAATTATAGAGTTCTAGCCCCCTCTACTCTTTTCCTTACTCCCTTTTTCCCACAGCAGTATGTAGTGAAAGCAGAGACTAGAATTTAAAAGAAAAAAAAAACGGCTTTGTTTCTACCCCTAGAGACAGCTTTGTGCTTTAACAATGACCACACTTTCCCTAACTCCGCCTGACCTCACCTGAAACACGCACTCGTGTACCCTTTGGTAAGCCGGACAACCGCAGACAAATCTGACTCTTCGCTAACTTGCAGCCATAGATAGCAAGAAAAAGATCAAAGTCCTTCACTGGTAGCTCCAAAAACACACTGCAAACGCCAGCGGCACCGCAGTAGCAGCCTCTGTGCTGCAGCCTCCGACTAGAGTTTCAGATCTAATTCCTTAAGAAGCATCGCTCCTCTGCCCTTCGTCCCACTCCCTGGGCTTCACTCACTTCTCCCCTCAGGAGGTTGAGAAGAAGTGGGTCACTTTGCCACTTCTACGGAGGGGGATGTGGCAGTGAAAAGGATTCCTACCGAAGTAACCCTAACCCCACTACTCTTTGCCCCATCTCTCCACCCTCCTGCCCTCTAAGCGCCTGTGCTGCTGGCGAAGGTCCCAGTTCTCAAGGTGCTTGAGCTCCGATGGGATATGGAGGAGCCAGGCGAGAAGAACAGCGACGGGACGATGGCTGGAGATTGTTAGAGGACAGATAGGACGACGGGTCTGGGGAAAGGAGCGAAGACCCCGCACAGAGACCCTCTCCCGCTCCTTGCTCACAAACAGTTAAACTCCAAAACGCGCAGATGGGTCGTGAGGTAAAGGCCTTTTCTCGCTATCGTCTCCCTTCTCTTCCCGGCTCCCCGCCTGAACACTTGGTGAAAAAGCAAGGTGCAAGTGTACCTGGAGCGAACACCATGATTTCCTCCAGCAGCTACGCCCTAGGTAAGGAGAGACAGACAGACAGACGGAGGCTGGGAGGAAAGCCAGGACTCGGAGAGGTCCGGCGCAGGTGGGCGCGCAGGGCGCAGACCGACTACGGGTCGGGGCGGTCAGCACCTCGGACAGCTCCCCACCTCAGGCTCCTGGGGCCGCAGCTCCAGCCGCCGCGGCGCTCTCAGCCTCCACAATGCACTGCTCTGCCGGCGGCCACCGCGCCGGCGGGAGGAGGAGACCGAATCCCTGCTCAGTTCATCCCTCGTTCCTGTGCCAGCTCAGCGTACGTTACTGCTTAGGGAGCAAAACACTTCAACCGCTTCCACGGGAGAAGGAAGGATAGAAGAGGAAGAGAGAAAAAGGTAATTGCCCGGCTTCCCCGCAGGGGGACAGCTAATTGCTTCTAATTACCTGCTGTTGCTCTCCCCCGTGGATATTGGACTGACATTTAGGATGGGTTTGCCCTTTAAAATAATAGTAATAATAATAATAACTCAAAGAGCTTTACTCTCGAGGCTGGCTCTGAGTTCTCCGAGTTGGGCTTGCTGGCTCTGAAGAGAAGGGTGGGGCCTCCAAGTTAATCGGTCCTTGGGATCCATGAGTCCTCTCTCCTCCGGAGTCCCAGTCGTCTGCTAACGTCAGAAAACGAGGGAGAGGGAAGGACAGGGTGACTACAGAGTGCGTGAGGAGGGCGCCGCCATCAGGCTTGCTCCCAGGCGGCCCATCCCGCTCTGAAAGCTCCCAAACTTGTAGGCCCTCAAGGTCATCACTTTAGGCTGACCAGGGCAGAGAAGAGAGACCTTGGTGAGGCAGGTCTCCTCCACCGATAAGCTCTCACACTCTATAAAAGGTTGAACCAACAGAGTCCACTTCGAGTGTGAGAACAGCCTTGAGACGGATCAAGAAACATTGGTGCTTCCCCTGCCTTCACCCAACCAAAAACTGCCCCCACGTACACCCAGTTCTACTCTAAACATACTAGGATGCCCCATGCTCACTTCATGCTTCTAAGCCACTGCTCATTTTAAAGCATTATCTAGTTTCCCCAAGATATGTTTGTGCAACATGGACAGCCCACGCTAGATGTTACCCAGCTTGAAAGAAGTCCATCTGGGTTTCAACCCCAGAGCTAAAGTGACACAGGTTCCTCCAGCCTCAAAGCAGATGACAGTTGCTTTGGGTTTTATCCTCTATTTTTGCAGCTAAATGGAGTTTTCCAAGAACAAAGGGTGATGAGGGTCATCTCCAGTGTTTTCTGGGGTTTCTTCACTTGCACCTCTCCCTAGAAAATACAGCTATTCTGAAAATACAGTATTTCCTAATAATTTGGTTGGTAGCCATAAGTTCTACACTCTTTTGGCAAATATAAAACATTCAAAGAACCTTATTGGCACTGGTTTTCTTCAAAGCCCTCTGATAGATTGAAAATGCAAATAGTTTTACAGCTCTTGAACTACAGTTTGCTTGGAAGCATATGGGCAGGCTCAACATAACACAATCAGTACTGCTCTCAGCACCTGGCTCAACACAGGCCTAAACAGATGGGGCCTGCCTCATGAGCAACAAGAGGCAAGTCAGCTGGTGAGCAGGATGAAGGGTGTATATGACAGGATGCAGTCCTCTCACATCCCCAAGTTACACCAAAAGCCAGGGACCAATGATGCTTCACTCCTTCTTCTTTGCTCTATCACCAGGAGAAACGTGAAATACTATTTAAAATAATCTTTGAATGATTGAAAGATCTCTTTCTTTTAGCACACTCAAAAGTGCTCTCTTCTACAACCTTTTTTATAAAATGGGTTTTATTCTCTTAATGCATAAACAATTACTCATGATTAAGTTCAAGAAAAAGCAATATAGTGTAGAAAAAGAAAAAGGACTTGTGACCCAAGTAGAACACCTTCACCATTTACTAGCTGTGTAACTTTTGATAAGTTACTTAACTGTCTTACCTGCAATATAAGGATTAAGGTATCTCAAAGGTTTCTTGTGAGGATTACATGTGATGATGGATTAATGGATTAATTAAGAGAGAGCACAGCCCCAATTAAACCCATTCCAAGAAATTACTGACACTCTGGGAGTAGATGACACCCCATAGGAATGCAAACTAAATATGTTAGATAAGTACTTCTCAAACATTAATGTGCATATGAATCCCATGGAGATCTTGTTAAAATGCAGATTATGATTCAGTAGATCAGGGTGGGGTCTGAGACTTGAATTTCTAATAAGCTCCCATGTGATGTCCATGCTACAGGTGCTGCTAGTCTGTAGATTGTATTTTGAGTAGCAAGGTATTAGATGTATCAACATTAAAAAAAAAGGGAAATTACTTGTATCTCCTCCAACCTCAGAGAGCAACTTTGTAAATGTTAAATAAGGAGGAAAGCTTAGATTCCAAGCTAGACAGAGACCAAGATGATAGTAGAGAGAAAGAATGCCTAAAAGTGGCCCCAGCGCTCCTTTCATTAGCCTGCTTTGGCAATAAGAGGCAATGTGGTCCAGTAAAAACCAAAGCAACAGGTCAAGGACAGAATAAAAACTCTCTTCTTGGCCCCATCTTCAGCTCTTCTCTGTCTTTCTTCCTCCCGTCATCTCTTCACTTTCTCTACCCAGCACGTCACTGCTACCTAGCCAGAGGACAATATACTCCTACTACAGTTTTTGCTTATTTATGTTTTAGTAAGAGCAATTAATTTTATTCCCAATAAAACCAAGGCAGTTTAATAAACTTTTTTATTTCCTCAGTAAATTTTATATTAAACAATATTATCTTCAATTTTTACTACTACTGGAGTTATTATTCTGTTGGTTTAATTTAAAAACTTTTATAATGCTACTAGATTTTTTATATTTTAATTTAAGTCATCAATTTAATAATATAATGCCTCATAGGAAAATAAACATTCCCTTTTATTCTATTGTAAGAGCCAGACTCTTTGATAGATGATTTGTCCAATCTTACCCTACAACCAAGGCTTAAGTTCCCAATATAGTCTCACTCTGTCTCTGTTTAAACACCCCCACTCAGGGCCACTCACTCTCTACTCAAACAATCAATTGCACTTTGAGATAGCCATCTATAGCCACCATCTACCTCATTCTATCACCCTCATTTCCAGTTAATGATGGGAACAGTGATAGGAAGAAAGAGAGTAAACAAATTGAACTAGATGCCCCAACTCTCTTTCTCTGGTTATCAAATTAGCCAACTTATCAAACTAGGCACTCCTACCCCTTCAGATACTTGAACAAGATGCTGGATGAGCTGGCAGGCACAGAAAAGAAAAAAAAAAACGGTCACTTAATAGAGCCAACTATTTTCCTTGGGGACTTGGAGAATATTTTATACAAAAATGAGCATGAATACACTATGAGGTAGTGATTCATGTGACATGTAAATAATAAATTGGAGACTCCAAAGAAATTACCATAGGCAGATTAGAGCTATAACGCTCAGACTTCCCCAATTCCCTACCCATTCCCTCTAACAGTTATTTATTCTACTCTGTCTTTAGAGCTTTAACAAATAGAAAAGTTTGAAAACCCTTTCTAAAAATCTTCCCACCATTTCCATTATTTGCAGCTCACCTTGGCTCCAGCCACATCCTGATTCATCCCACTCCATATTCATTTTAAATGCATTATTAAACCAACTAAAATTTAAAAGAATTTTAGCCTCTCTGAGAACAGTTGAAATAGATTGAAAAGAAGGGTTTTCATTATGATGCATTAAACCATAATTGTTTCCAAAATGTCTTAGCTTATAGGTTTCAAATGATTACAGAAATGAAATGTTGGATAAGAACTCTTCTTCCCCTAAGAGTTGCTAGGAGTTGTTGAATTGGGCCTAAGGAAGGGCACAGAAGTGAAACAAAGTGGAAATAAGAAAAAGAATAAGAAAATGTAGTATAAAGGGACATGAAAATAGGAAAACTGCATGAAGAAGAAGACACTGAAAAACTAATCTTTGTGCTATCCAATCGGTAAAGACTTAAAGAGAGTGAAGTAAAAATACATATAGACAAGGAAATGGCATAAATTGAAAAAAAAAATGAAGATAGAAGATGAAATAAAGGGAAGGAAAATAAAATAATGACTGTACTACATTAAGAAAAGAAATGAGAAATATTAAACAATTTTGCAGGCTTAAAGAGTACTGGACAATGTCTCTGTAGCTTTGCATTTTATGAAGCAGTTTATGAGTTCTACGAGATGCTTTAAAAGGAAATAAGAAATAGCCATCTTTTCTGAAAGGAAACATCAGCAAAACTTCCTTATTAGAAAAAGAACACTTGGGGCTGGCCCCGTGGCCGAGCGGTTGGGTTCACGCGCTCCGCTGCAGGCGGCCCAGTGTTTCGTTGGTTCGAATCCTGGGCGCGGACATGACACTGCTCATCAAACCACGCTGAGGCAGTGTCCCACATGCCACAACTAGAAGGACCCACAACAAAGAATATACAACTATGTACCGGGGGGCTTTGGGGAGAAAAAGGAAAAAATAAAATCTTTAAAAAAAAAAAGAAAAAAAAGAAAAAGAACACTAGAACAGTTAACATTTTGTAGTATGTTTATGCAAAAGGAATATTTTCCTGAACAAAATCTAACTTTGTTTGAGGACCTTTTTTTCCTACCAAAGAACTAGGTATCCATGTTCATTTTTGTACAAAATGTTCTCCTAAATCACACCAAGAAATTGTTGATTCTACTAGATGACAGAAGAGAGAGCATAAGTTGAGGACAACATTCAAATTAAAACCAACTTGGTTAGTTTTTAATGAGAAGCATTAAGCATTCAACTCACTTAACATTCAACACATCTTCAAAAATGTAAATAGACACTATAAGATTTTACTTGGTAAATTCCGATGCATAAATCTATCTATCTGTTTATATGGGAGCCACATTAAATCAACCTCAGAAGAGAAAAATCAATGAGGAAAAAAAGACAGAAAAGAGAAGAGGTGAAGAGTGAAGCAAAAGGAGATAGGAAAGGAATATGGGAAGGGAAAGAAAAGAGGCAGGAAATAGAAAGAGAGCTCTCTAAGAAGAGTATATATAAAGGGAGAGAGACACAAAAGACATAAAGAGCGGCAAATTGAGAGACCAAAAAAGAAAAAAGATTTTTTTAAAACAAAAGGAGAAAGAAAAAAAGAATGACAACCTTTTTTTTTTTTTAAATGTAATGACAAAGAAGAGAGCCTTAATAGAGTTCAAATCGAGAAATTGAGTGCTCTTCTCATATCCTGCTCATTTGGGCTGTATGTTTGAGAATAAATTTAATCACTACCTTTGGAAATACTTGTTAATTTTTCAAATAGTTGTTCAAAGCTCTTCATCTCTATTCAAGGGCTCAGTTTAGAATTGGGACTCATGGCACACAACACAGGGATTTCCTTATCAGAGAAGAAATATTCTTTAGAAAATGGTACCTAAGATCATAGCAATACTCACTCATTGGTTACTTTTTAACCTATTTTAAAAATCAGTTTCTAACATAAGAGAAATTCTCTTCAATCTTAGAATAGGCAAAAATTTCCTAGATAAGACACAAAAAGCATGAATCATAAAAGAAAGTAATGGATAAATTGGACTTCATCAAAATTAAATTTGTTTTTCCCCGAGGAAGATTAGTCTGCCAATCCTCCTCTTTTTTCTGAGGAAGATTGGCCCTGAGCTAACATCCATGCCCAACTTCCTCTACTTTATATGTGGGACGCCTGCCACAACATGGCTTGCCATGCAGTGCCATGTCCGCAGCCAGGATCCGAACTGGTGAACCCCAGGCCACCCAAGCAGAACATGCGTACTTAACCACTGTGTCACTGGGCAGGCCCCAAAATTAAATTTTTATACTATCTGAAAAACACTAAGAAAATGAAAATATAACCTATGAACTTAGAGAAAATATTCACAATATGTATATATGACAAACATATTCATAACTCTTGTATCTGAATAAGACAACAACCCAACTAAAACTTGCCAAAATGTTTAAACAAAACCTTCCCAAGAGGAATGTAATACTCATGACCTGTAAGCACATGAAGCCTTCTCAATACAATTAGTCTTCAGAGAAATACAAATTTAAGCTACAGTGAGGTATCATTACATACCCAGTAAAATGGGGAAAATTAAAAGGACTGACAATGCCAAGTGTTGAGATATGGAGCAACTAGAACTCTCACTTATTGCTGGTGGGAATGTAAAATATTACAACCAGTTTGGAAAACAGTTTGATAGTTTCTTATAACATTAAATATACACTTACTCTAAGACCATCCAAGCCACTCCTAGGTGGTTACCCAAGAGAAAGGAAAACTGTGTCCACACAAAAACTTAGGCATGAAACTGACAGTAGCTTTATTCATCATAGCCAGAGAGAGAAAAGGATCTTAAAGTCAGTCAATGCTATATGGCTACAAAAATTCTTTCATTTAGATGCAACACATGAATAAATCTCAAAAACGTGCTGAGCAAAATAAGACAGACACAATAAAGTACATACTGTATGATTCAATTGATATGAAATTCTAGAAAAGGCTAAAGAACCTATAGTGACAGAAAGCAGATCAGTGGTTGCCTAGGGCTTGGGGATCTGGGGAGGTGGATTGACGTTGACTAAAGAGGAACGTAAAGGAACTTTTTGGGATGATGTAAATGTCTTTATCTTTGTTGAAATGCTGGTTAAATGACTGTATACATGTATCAAAACTCATCGAAAACTTATAATGGGTGCATTTTACTTTATGTAAGTCACACTGCTATAAAGTTGATCTAAAAATCAGTTTATAATAATCTAATATTTCTAATAAATAGAAATATGGATGAGGATATCCTAAAAATGGAATATTTTGAAAACTAAAATTAACTATAAAGTATGCTAACTCAATTTTACATAATTTTTAAAAATTTTTTGTCTAAAATAACTTCCCATTTTGTATTCAACACTTTTGAATGACCGTATTTGGCCAATATGAATGATTGAAGAATGAGTAAAAAGATATAAAATGTTGTAGCTTATTTTAAAAATAAGCTTTACTCTTCTTCATTTGTTTATTCAACAAGCATGTATTGATCCCCTATTATAACTAAGAACAATGTTAGAGACTGAGATTCAGATGCATAAGCTATAGGTATGCTCTCAAGTACTTTAGAGTCCAGTTGGGAAAAAAAAACACAGGGAAGAGGTGTAGAGAAGAGGAAGAGGGAGAGAAGAACACTGAGACTCAGCTGAGGCCTGTAAATATTTATCTGTAGAGGTGTCTGGTGGCGAGGTCACACGAAATCAGGGTACAGATGTGTTAAAGTATCTAAACTAGGCCCAAGATGGAGTCAGTCATGCTAAGCCCCACATCAGCAGACCAAAACTTAACTACATTTCTGTGCTCAGCTCTCCCAGAAAAGAAAGGCCTAGGTCAACCAATCAGCCAAGTTACCTGACCTGGCTTCAAGACTTCCCTTTGCTCCATACGGAAAGCAAAGTAACCCTGCTTTAAGCAGTCACCCAATATAATTTCCTTGTTTCTGATCACTTTGTTCTATAAAAATCTCTTGCCTTCTGTAGCTCTTCAGAGCTCCTTTCAGTCTGGTACATTGAAGGCTACCAATTTATGAATTGCTGAATAGAGCCAATCAGATCTCTTCAAAATTTATGATTGTTGGATTTTTCCTTTAACAGATAAGAAATGCCACTAAACCAATTGGATCCAAGCTGGGGAAGGAAAGAAATTAAGCCATGAGGAACTCTTTAAGGGAAGAGGAAAATATGAGGTCATTCTAGACTAGGAGTCGTGAGGTTGAAAGAATAGCAAGGACTAGAGCAAAGAAGTAAGAAAGCTGGCAGGACTGGAGGCAGGATTTCTGAGTTTAAGATTTCAGCTGTGAAGCCGTTATGGATGACAACAAGGTCTTGAGGGTGGCCCTGGAGTGACTGCTGAACGATCAGCAGGGAGGAAGTGAAAGAACCCTGGTGAAGTCATCCTGAGTGGTAGGTGGACACAGAGGCCAGAAGATTGTGAATCACACAGCTTGGCTTCTATAAGTGAAGGGAGAGTCTGGGCGGGCAGGGGAGGGGGGAGACAGTTAAAAATACTGAGATATTGCCTGATAAATGTAAGGAGAAAACAAGTTAAAAGGTCTTTGAATAAGTTAATAATGCTTAAGTAGCATGATAACATTTGGAAATTAAAATTAATGGTTTTCTTAATCAGAAATTCCTTTTTACACCACTTTACATAACAATGGTAGACATTTAGGCTGAATCTTATTGCTATAGAAAGATACTGAACCGAGTTCAGAAAATAAACAATCAAATTCTTGGCATTTGACTTTTAAAATAAACGCTTTCCCTTCGGTGGCCCAGGGTTCACCAGTTCAGATCCCGGGTACAGACATGGCACTGCTTGGCAAGCCATGCTGTGGTAGGCATCCCACATGTAAAGTAGAGGAAGATGGGCACAGATGTTAGCTCAGGGCCAGTCTTCCTCAGCAAAAAGAGGAGGATTGGCAGCAGATGTTAGCTTGTGGCTAATCTCCCTCAAAAAAAAAGAAAATTAAATCAAAGCAGAGACTAAAGTTTTGAAAGCCAAGGCTTTCAATTCATTGCTAGAGCAGAGGGGAAAATGTTTTTTTGAGTCCCAGCCGCAAGCACTCAAATGATAAAGTTTAGAAGACAAACAGATTTGGGGTGAGAAAAGCTGGAATAAGCATAGCCAGTTTTTCTACCCCAGAGGAAATATTTTGCCTTTGTTTTATTTTGTTTGAAAACTCACTCTGGGCTCAGGAGCAAGATTTCCTTTTTACAAAAATAGGTAAGAAACTATAGATTTAGCAGGACCTCCAAAAAAGGAGACTGTGCACCTTGACTGCCTCCCAACCCTGTCAGTCCATGGCGAGGTGGGGTCTCAAAGGGGAAATGACTGAGAGCCCAGATGACTTTGGAGAAATCCTAAGACCTTCTGTTACCATGAAAAGGGCACAATCT